GGGAGTTCGAGGACAAGCTCATAAACTTTCAGCGTTTCGTGAACCGGCTTCGGGAGCAGAACGACTGAATGATGGGGCAGATTGGCAACGCCGATGAGATCCCCATGTGGTTTGACATGTTTTCTTCGACCACGATCACGCAGCGCGACGCCGAGATGTGAAGCTGTTGTCCACTGGCAACGAGCACTCTCACTTCACCGTCATGCTGGCATGCACGGCAGATGATAGAAAGCTTTCACCCTTCGTCATTTTCAAACGCAAGACAATGCCGAAGGAAGTATTCCCGCCCGGTGTTGTCGTTCGCGTCAACAAAAACGGATACATGGACGAGGCCATGATGCTCGAATGGATACGAGTGGTGTGGAATCGTCAGTCAGGTGCACTGCTGCGTCTTCGCAGCATTCTGGTGTTGGATGTATTTCGTTGCCAGTTAACCGACGCAGTGAAACGCGCACTCGGCGACAGGAAAACAGACCTCGTCGTGATACCAGGTGGTATGACGTCCACCCTCCAGCCGCTCGACGTTGTGCTAAACAAGCAGTTCAAGGACCGAGTGCGACTGGAATACCAAGAGTGGATGTCCGGCGAAAACCCCAAGACACCGACGGGCCGCCTACAGAGGCCTCCGCTTGCGACTTTTTGTGGCTGGGTGCTTGCCGCCTGGCGCTCCTTGCCGGATTCCATGGTGGAAAATGCTTTCAAGAAAGGTTCCATCAGCAACTCGCTGGATGGCGCTGAAGACGACGCACTGTGGGAGGCGGCCAGTGACAAACTCTCGTCTTCAGAAGACAGTGGTGGTTCGATTGATTTGTGGGGTTTAACGTCCCAAAACCACCATTTGATTATGAGAGACGCCGTAGTGGAGGGCTCCGGAAATTTTGACCACCTGGGGTTCTTTAACGTGCACCCAAATTTGAGTACACGGGCCTACAACATTTCCGCCTTCGCAGCCGGGAATCGAACCCGCGACCTGCGGGTCAACAGCCGAGTACCTTAGCCACTAGACCACCGCGGCGGGGAAGACAGTGGTGGTTCGTCGGACGAATAGGAGCAGTTGCGATGGTGGTTGAGGGGAGCTCCGACGATCGGGGTGTGGTGCGCCCGATTCGCAAATAAATGTGGTTCGGCAGTTTTGGGTTGTTTTCCTTTTTTTTCTTTTTCAGTAACCTGAACTTGGGGGGGTCGACCTATATTCCCACTCGACCTATAGTCCGGTTTACACGGTAAAAACATAAGCGGCGTTCTGGACAGCTACTAGACCTCAAACTAATAAAAAAATTAATGCTAAAATGTTGCAATGTTCAACAACACAGGTGAGCAGATTTGCAAAAGAAGGGCAAGGAGTTGTGATAGAGTGAAGATAGAGTGAGAGGATACGGCGGGAAGGCGACCTTGAAGACCAAAACACACAGGAAGAAGGCCGATCAGGTTTAGGGGCTTTACGTCAGGTAGCTTGCTTGAAAAGTCCGTGAAACGAGCAACTCGTGCGTAGAAAAACTTGAAAAAGTGTTTGCGTGTGCAGAGGTCAAAGAATTGTTTTGTTGTGACGGCAGGTTTGTGTGGCCTCACCGACTTTGATAATTTGCGGTTCGTTCTATGCAACAGTCGTTTTCACACTTCCGCACGTGTGTGGAGGGCATGCTGAGCAGAGCGTGAAGTGAGCGAGAACAGACCCCAACATGAAACGAATCACGAATTACCAAAATCGGTGAGGTAGCGTATGCACATGCACTAGAACGATACAATAAGACAAGACGCAGACAATTGGATACAGTGGATGGCCAACCATATTAGAAAATGGTCTGGTCCATCCAGGCTGGCGACGCCAACGACAGTACCAGCGATCAAAAACTGTGGGGAGACTATAGTTGGCCAACCGGTCTTCAAAAACACGGGCCACGTCTGGCGATGCAGGGTGCTCAGAGTAGCGGGAGGGGGGGGGGGGGGGGGGGGCAAAAAGCGGTTGGAGTGAGCGGCAGGCAACTAGAGGGGCGCAAAGGCAGGGTCGCCATTTAACTATAAGAATTTATAAGCAACTCGACGATACCTCATCGGGGGTCGAAAGTGGTTTCCCGGGAAGTCGGCAGAGCACCGACTCCGTTCGCTGTAACCGATCGGCAGCACTCCAAGACATTCATTGTAAGTGCGATTTTTCGGCATTGAAACAATGTATATTTTCACGGTCATGCAGATAATGTTTGTTTCAAGCGAGGCCGTTATATGTGGGCTCGACTGTATCTTCGTACTAAACCTATAAAAATAAATCTAAAAAAGCTCATGTTCCGGTCATTGAAGTGCCAAAGCCGACATAATAAACACAAGGAAATTTAGATGCGCTTGCCGTGGCAATGTTAGGGAATTGGGCGATTTTTTTTATTACAATAAGAATTATATGGACACTCGATGGGTTTTCGCCGTCGCCGCCATGTTCCGCGTACTGTTGGTACCATACCCCGCGCATCGTACGTTCAACCCGCGCATAAAATTGTGCAAGCTGGGGTGATGAGCACTGCTCAAGCAGAGATTAAACAACATGGCCGATCTCTGTCGCTCAGAGGGCGCACGCGTTAGCATCCCACTATGTGTGAGAACTGTCATCGAATGCTCAAGCAGAGAGGAGACACGCCATTCATATTGAACGAGCATGAAGAGATGCAGGGGAAAGGGGGGGGGTGTCGCTCGAGCAGCAGCCGTGAACTTTAATTCTAATCAAAGACGTGGTTGCGAGAGCTAGCGCTCAATATCGGCAAGCATCAGCACATGGCTCGTAAACCTTTCTACATGGTGTGCTTTGAACGGGCAGAGATTGTGCGATAAGAGCATTTCTCCCTGGAGCGGACATACTTATTCTTTTACGCTAGCGTTTTGTAGTTGTGAGTGTCGTGATGTCTGATCCAAAAGAGTTGGCTGTCAGCCTTCATATTGTCGAGGTCGTGAAGTCGACGAAGGCAGCAGCTGCTGTTTTCACGAGAACTTATTTGGGCTAACCTGTGCCCAAAAAACGAATTGTGCCTCTACAAGCAATACACGCTGTAGACTGATAGCAGCGAACATGGAGTGTCGGCCATCGATAATCTACCACACAGCAAAATGCGGCTGCATTCACACATGTGGCATCAAAGACTCTAGTGTTATGGCTAGCGGCCGCGTAAGTTCCATAACAAACTAATGTACGCGTTGTGCACGTGATCTCATCGGAAGGTTCTAAGATTATCTAGATAGTCCCCAGGCATTCGGACGGGGTTAGCGCAAGGCAGCGTTAAACGCGTAATGGTGCGGTAACAAAACAAAGGAGTGTGTGGGGCATCACCGTTACAACATTAGATATTGTTGCTTTTGCAGTCATCGCTAAGCCGGTGACACTATTATTTTTTTAGTTTATATGGTAAAAAACTTGCTGCACTGCTGCCGAGCAACCACCAAGTACAGCACCTGCTCAGTAGTTGCGCGGCAGTGGTGCAGAGAGTTTCGTGCAACAATACTGCCGTTTTTATAGCTTGCCTACCAGTTTCGTTGTTAAAACATACATCGTATAATCAGGTCGTATAATCAGGTATGCACACAAATGCCACCTTAACAAGAATCATGCATTGTGTTCATGTGGTGCAAGATTTACGCACGATCCGAAATAAGACATTTGATACGGATGTGGTTGCGTCCTTTGAGTAGCCCACGCGTGTTGCTCGGTCGATTATAAAACTCTGGACGAAATTTGCCATTGCACATGCAAATTGCCGTTTAGGCATGGTTTGGCACAGCAGGTCAGATTGGCACAGCATGGTGCAATTGGCGCAGCACTTCCACCCCTGAACAAAAGCTCGGCGCTATGCCGGTGACCGACAGGCTATGCCAGCAACTATCGGACAGCGGAGAAAACCTCTCTCAGTCTCAAAAAGGCTCAAGAATGACTGCAACAGAAGCAGGAAAAGCGGCAAAGAAAAAGAGTCCTGAAGGACACTTCTAGCTACTGTGTAGGGTCATTTTAGATAAAAAAATACGCTCTAAATGACTTTTTTGGCCAGTCAGGCTGTTTAGTCCGATGATATCTCTGGAACCCTTTATCCGATTCCTATCGGGTTTGTTTTATTATGTACCTTAAAAAATTGCTCACATACTGACAAAGCCACTTTTTAATTTTATTTTGTTTGTAATTTGTGATAATTAAAATTTTATTGATAAAGGTTCAGTAGCAAATACTAAATCCAGTGCTCTTCTAAAATTTTCAGCAAGGAAATTTAAAAAAAGGGCTCTGTCCTAGTGTAAAGCACCCATAATCATTACAGTGAATTTCACTGTGCTATCACGTTTACTAAATTCACCAGAGGTTGACTAAGAAACCTATGTGGACAATCCTGATAAATGGCTGTAGCTGAAAATGGCTGGAACCAGTGAACATAAATGTGTGAAATTTTGTTTTTATTCAAATGGCTTTGCTATTAGGCTACCCTGAAAATTTTATTAGGATATCTCAACAAAAAAATTGCCCTTTTAAAGTAGCCTCCTCCCTTAAAGATCCAGACACCCAGCGTTGGCTCAACCCCAAGAATCTCCCCTTCCTCGGACACGGCTGAGCCTCGCAGGGCTGAGCCACGCATGGCGAAGCGTGGGAGGAAGTCAAAACGTCCCTGTTGGCTCTGGTCCGTGGCGATGCCACTCGCCGAACGCCTGCTTGCGGCAGTAAGGCGAGTTTGAGAACCCTGCTCTAGATCTGTGAATCGCGCCTTATTCATTGCTTTTATGCAAACTAAACAGGGCTTGCAGACTCATTATCAATAAAAGTATGTTGATGAAGTCTGCATTTACTTATCCCAATACACTCAACAATTTGACATTTGGTCAAAAACTGTCTTATTCCCCTTTGAAATTCAAATCGAAATTTTACTGTATATGCATTATACATTTGAGCATTACTTCATCTAAAACATTCTTCTCAGTACCTATTAAACTACAGCATTTTAGGACAGAAAGATTGACAGAAATTTGTCAGCATGCAAACTAACCAAAATATGGGTGCAGAGAGAGAAGTAAGTGCCCATTTGTATTGTAGAAGTGCGCGTGTCCAGGTAGGGTGGGTACTTCTCAGTCTGGCCTTGTGTCAAGAAGAGAAGCGGGTACTTGTTCTGTTTCAGGCGGATCCTGCAAAAAAATGAGGCTTAAGGTCAGTCTGCCACTCACATATTCAGGCTAAAGTAGCAAACACATACGTCATTGAAGCCCCTACAGTCGATCCCGGATATATCGAACTCGAAGGGGATCGCAAAAATAGTTCTATACTATATCGATAATTCCAAATACAGAACACATCTATTTAAGAGTTACCTTGTAATGCTGCGAGTTTCGGAGCGATTCTCAGAGTCTGTGCCAGGCAGGAGCTTCCCGATTTACGCAGAATATATAACAAAAAAAGCACAAGAACAATCGCACTTTATTTGGCATGAAAAAAGTACATGACCTTTACATTGCCTCTTATTTTTAGCCACAAAATTCATAAGGCCATCCTCAATATTTTACAGCCTCTCCACATAGTCTAGTCCTGCGCCTTCGATAGCGCCACAATAGCGGCGAATGAGCCTGAAGGTCGATTTTCAGTCTGACCCCCAACCAAAGGTTGATCAGGAGCTGTTGCACCAGACGTCACTTGGGCCAAACAACGAAACGTTCCTTTCCTCAGTAAGGAAGCCTTCATTTTTTTGAGGCCGCCTTATGTCACTCTGAAAGCTTCCTCACTGAGGAGTCCTCGGTGAAGGCTTCCTTGGCGCTTCCTCAGCTTAAGGTTGCTTTGGGGCTACCTTCGTGCGCTGTTAGGTCCGCTCCTTGCCCTGAACGAGCGCTTCGCCTCACAGCTAGCCCACGTGATGTTTTCGTTTTCAAGGCAACCCTCCCACCCCACCCCTGCGGGGAGACGCGAGCGGCGAGCGTGCGTGCACGGCGCCAGGCACCATAACAGCGTTTAAAGAGGCGGGCGTTTCAGTGTTGCTAGAATGCACCACGTTTTGCGCTCAACTACGGTGGCTTTTCACATTCAGTAATCGTAGTTTGAAGAAAGCGTACACGCGTCTCTATATTAACACTTCAATTCGGAAGTGATGTGGTGACCCAACTTTTTTTTACAGAATAAACGCTTGTGAGCAAAGCTTATATTCGATAATCTCGAACGCAGGAGCACGGCAACCACTCCTCCCGCAAGGACGGGTTAAGGGAGCTTTCAGAGTACGCTTGCTTCCTCCGTCGGTACTTGGTTGTAAGGAAGCCTCACGTAAGGAAAGGACGCGGTCAAATGAAAGGAACGTTTCGTTGTTTGGGCCTTGTATCCTACCTTGAATGCTTTGATAATGCCTTGGTCGAGAGGCTGTAACCTTGCCGTGGTGTTGGGTGGCAAAAACTTCATAGTTATTCTTTTCAAATGGCTAACAACGTGGTGCGCAGAACAATCGTCTACAAGAAACCTTCTCCAATTCGTCATCCTAAACGCGAATCCACTTGGAGAAGAGGTCCCGTGTCATCCAATCCTTTTATTAGAAGCGTATCGGGCCGGGAGGCTCTTCGCATTCTTGAAGCAGCGCGGCGACTTGCTCTTGCCGATAACAAACAGCCGCAGCTTACAAGAATCATCCAAGTTCACCGGGAGCAGAATCTAAATACACACTTTGCTCCTCTTACCCCCATGACAAGAAGACCTCTTCAAGTTCAACGTCTTGTTGGGCAACATCTGCCAGAACAGCCCCGTTTCATCAGCGTTGAGAATATCTGACGGCGAAAAGCGGTCGTGAATTTTCGGCCATTCTTTGGACAGCCACTTCTCTGTGTCCTGGCTGTTTGTCGCTCCACTTTTGCCGCACAAGGTTTTTACAAGGATGCCGTAACAGTTTTTAAAGCGTTGCTTCCAACGGGTGCAACCAATGAAATCATTCGTCTCCAAGACCACAGCAAACCACTCCGCTTTCTCCATCAACATCGGTCCGTCAATAGAGATATTTTTAGCCTAAGTTTCCAAAAACCAGGCATACAGTGCCTTCTCAACTTTGTCGTACGCAGGAGTACCCACACGACAAGCTTGAGAACAGACTGGGCAGCCTTCGCCTTTATATCGGCTTTGTTCTTCAGAATCGTGCTTAACATGCTCCGAGGAATGCCGAATGCTACTGCGACCTATTACTTCTTTTCGCCAGCCTCCACACACCGAATCATACAGTTTTGATAGCGAAGTCCAAGTTCACATCAGCGTCAACAGATATGGCGCACACCGCGATCACAATTCGGAAACGTGGAAGCAGCGAGAACTACACTCAAACAAAGCAACAAGGGCAACTGGAAATGGTGGCTGAATCTGCCAAAACCGGTCAAAACATCCTCTTGGCAATGGCATTTCGGGTTTCGCAGCAGACAGCCGCGACATTAGTAAAAACATATAACGATGAAAACACCACCAGGGGTATACAGTTTGTAAAGGCATGGCCTTGGAGATCGAAAGTAGCCACAAGGTGCCAATGGAATCAGATCTTGAAGGCTATGCTTTTGGCACTTGTTTGTTCGAATGCGTGGACACAGATATATTTGATGCGCGCGAACAAAGAGGGCGCTTAATATTTTTCGGTCGTAGCCGAATTGTGGTCCTTATCACGACTGCAGTGCGGCGAAGCGTTCGATATATCGAATGCTTCGGCGTGCCATAGTTCGATATATGTGCACACGTGCCCTATACTTTTACACAAAATTTTCAAGAAGATTTTTCTTCTGTTTGATATAGCGAATAATTCGATATATCCGAGTTCGATATACCCGGAATAGACAGTACAGTAAAGTTTCATTAATTTCACCCCTGTTAATTCGAAATTTCGGTAAATTTGGCCACGGCGTCTGGTCCCATTCAAAATTGTTCTATAACTGAAAACTCTCATTAATTCAGAAAAATTCAGCCGCGCTTCGGTTGTTTCGAACGCCCGACCGGAGTCGAGTCACGACAGGGAAGTAGCAGCGGATTCTGTCGGCCAAATCGATGGCGCACCTAAACAACTTTGGGTTGAGTTGCGGCCTCCAGAATTCAAAACTTTGTCCTTGGGTAGTACATCTCGGAGGCACCTCAAAAAAAAAAAAAACACACACACACACTCACACATGCACACACACACACAGTGGTTGAAACAACCAAAATGGAAGGCAGTGCATCGCTACTGTCATCAGCAACGGGCAACCCACGAATTCACTTTTCCTTTTTTCTTGCGAGTCGAACCCGTTTGCGTGACCGTTGAGTTGGATTTCTCATCTCTAGAGTGCTTTAAATTATTTAATATGATAGTCTTTCTTGAATACCTTCGACTCAATAATTTTGGTCTGTCTGTGTCAGTACATTTGTCTGCTTGTCCGCCCTTAACGGTACCTTAAATGGCACCAAAGTGGCCAAGCGATACTCCAAACGGCCGACCCCATCCGCAGCGCCCACCAATATTGCTCAAGGCTCAGCGTTCATACTTGTGCGATTGTCAATTAAAAAGCCATTATTGCACATATCTGAGGCTCCATAACAACACGTCATATTATATATGTGTATTTTTTACTGGAAAAGGCATACATAAGTAATTCTAAGGACCGTAGCGTTTATCGCACTGCGCGGACTATGCAACGCTAGCACGAAAAGACAAGTGTTTCTAACGCTTTTCTAAGACGACACCGTGGTGGCACCTACCCGTCGCCTTGCGATCTACACCTTATCACCTCAGAGACTGGCGCACACGCCGCGCGCTCTGTTTTCCAGGATAACTGCCAGATAGCGCTCATGTCTCGCGCGTGACATGACTTGATGCGCTCGTTCGCCTTCGGTGCACGCTCGGGGCACTAAGACAGTGCCTCCAGAATACCATTCATCGATTTTCTTGCGCAAAACATCAAATGAATGTTGTGTTAACTCTTTCCAGATGCAAGACTGTCGTCTTCCGACGACATTTGCAGTGTAACATGCAGATACGTGGCCAATTTTTTTTTATCTGTACGTGATCAGTGCCATCTGCAGTTTTGCTGTTTGCTGTTTTTTGAAAAGTTCGCTGGTGTTTATTTGTTTTTATTACTGTGTGCTTTTTTGTGTGTGTGTGTTATCTACTTCGTGTGCGTGCGCGTGACCACCGCATGAGCGATGCCGGGATGGCTTCACCTCTGTCTTCTGCAGCCCTAACCGCCCCAACTCCCACAGCGAAGAGGGTGAAGTACGAATCAAAGGATTTGGCTACGAAGGTGAAAATATTGAAGCCGTTGCAGGCGGGAGCATCTCGAAAAGAAGTAATGGAAAAGCTCAATGTGACGAAAATCACACTGAGCACTTATGTGAAGAACGAAAAGCAGATTATGCAAGCGTAGGACGGGGACAAGTTTGGCGACCAAAAGAAGAGGCTTCGAACGGCAGCGCATCCCAAGCTAGAAGAAGCGCTATTGCGCTGGATTGCCATTTCGCACGTTTGCCCTTGAGCCGCCCCTTTATCTGCGCAAAAGCAAAGAAGTTCACGGTGACCATGAATATTAACTCCTTCAGTGCGTCAGAAGGTTGGCTCGACCGCTTCAAGAAGGGACACGGGCTGGTGTTCTGCAACGTTTTGCAATAAAAGAGGTGCGGTTGACGAAAGTGTTGTGCATGACTGGCAGTCTAGACTATCAGTGCGCTTTTCTACATACGAGCAGTGCAACATTTTCAACGCTGATGAGACAGTGCTGTTCTATAAGGCTCTGCCTGACCAGACCATCGCGTTTAGGGGGACCCGTGCATCGGTGGAAAACAAAGTAAAGAGTGCATGACAGTTCTTTTGGCTGCTAACATGACCGGCACAGAGCGGCTGCCACTGCTGGTGATCGGGAAGGGTGCGAAGCCAAGAAGTTTTAAGAATATTAAGCAGCTGCCTGTCGACTACTAGTTCAACAGAAAGGCTTGGATGACTGCCAAACTATTTCAGGCCTGGTTGCGTCAGCTCGACTGCCGCTTGCGGTCAAGGCTCGGAAGGTGTTGTTCGTACTAGACAACCATAGTGCGCACACGAAGGTATCCTGGCTCGAGAACATTGAATTATTTCTGCCTCCTGGTCCATCGGCTGCTATTCCTGCAGCCGATGGACCAGGGAATCATACAGTTCGTGAAAAGCCGCTATCGAAGGTAG